AAGACACACTGTAAGGAAAGCAAGACACACTGTAAGGAAAGCAAGACATACTGTAAGGAAAGGTGTGAGGCAGATGTCTAACTCCGTGGCACATGCTCTAGAGGTCTTTGAGCAGAAAGTTTAACTGTCTTCTTACTCAGCCAGAAGCAACTGTTTATGAGAAAAGTTAATGCACATACATGCTGAATTTTAGACAAGCGTAATATCAAAATCACTGCCAGAGTGCTTCCAACGCTGTGAAACCTGCCTAGAAACAGCCTTGTGTATCTTTTTCCTGCAGAGCAGCAATGGCTTCAAGCTGCTGTCCTTTTGGGGTGCAGCTTTGTACTGAACCGCTGAACCCCAAGGGCTCTTTGAGAAATGTGGCTGTGTTTGTCAAGAGTTATTAGGGAGTCTTTAAATGGTATTGTATGAGGAACAGTTAATGAAACTGGGAATGATTAACCTCCAAAACATATTGGCATCGACTCAGATGTGACTCATAGCGACGCGCTAGGACAGGGTGGAAGAGCCCTAGTGGGTTTCGGAGGCTGTCAATCTTTACAGGAGCAGAAAGCCTCATCTTTCTCGGGCGGAGCAGCTGGTGGGTTGGAACCACTGACCTTACATTTAGTGAGCCAGAGTGTAACCCACCCTCTGAAGGCAACCACCACACTGTGTTTTAGTCGTCTAACTGGCTGTTGCCTTGAGATGGATTAAATTTGTTCTTTGTTGCTTCAGAAGCAAAACTGAGGGCAGTGAACGGAGATGTCAGGGATTTCGGTTTTAATCACTGGAAGGATGTTCTTCCTCATCCACGAATCAATGAAAACGAGATGAGGCAGCCTTGTGTGGGAGTGAGTGCTCTTTTGCCAGTTGGGTGTAAGCTCCTGCTGACTGACCTCATTGCAGAGCTGCTGGGTGGGGTGGAATGTGGGACTGGACAGCTTGCAAGATACAGTTCATCATCTCCTTCAGGCCCTCTCTTACCTTCAGCCAGGGCAGGATCCTGACTCTGTTTCTCTCTGGTCATCCACTCCAGGTTCTACGATGAGATCAGGACCCCACTCCTCTCAGATATCCGCATTGATTACCCATCCAACTTAGTGAAGCATGCCACCCAAACCCTGTTCCCCAACTACTTCAATGGCTCGGAAATCATCATTGCTGGGAAGCTGGCGGACAGGAAAATGGATCAATTGCATGTGGAGGTCACAGCCAGCAACAGTAAGAAGTTTGTCTTACTGAAGACAGATGTGCCCGTGGAGCCCCAGAAAGAGGGGAATGATGTCACCGGTAGCTCCAGGCCCAAGGGTGGTGGCCAGGAGGACCCCAACCACGTCGAGCGTCTCTGGAGCTACCTCACCGTGAAGGACCTGCTGAATGCCTGGCTGAAGACTGATGATGAGCAGGAGAAGGAGCGGCTGAGGCAGAAGGCTGGGACCCTGGCGGTGAATTACCACTTCCTCACCCCGTTCACCTCCATGAAGCTAAAGCGACCAGCTGAAGAGACTCACACGGAGAGCCTAGAGCACGGCTATGGTGGCATGTCGGCCGTGGCAGGCCCTGAAACCGTGATGCAAAGCTTACGAGGAGCTAACATGCAACCAGGTAACCAGACGCTGCAGACGGCCAGACTGGAGGACCAGTAGACTTCAGGGTCTCAAGTTTGATTCCTTTGAAGTCCAGAGTCACCTCCTCCATAGTCCGTTGGTTTTCATTTTACATTATTTATAAAATGATCTTCTTTTTATGTATCACATCTCATCATCAATACTATTTATCTTATTTTGTTTCAAAGTCCTACTACTTAGAGTTTACTGATTTTGGAAACTATGATATAGTATTTAGATTAGTCTTGTTATTTTTCATCAGTTTCACTTTCATAATAGCACTCCTAGGTGCACCTTATGGTCATCAAAGAACATATCAGATTTGTTGTATTTACTTTGTTATAAACTGGGAGTTCTGGTAGATGTGTGTTAAAAGGTGGCATTTGGCCCAGAAACATTGCCCATTAAAATCAGTCCATCCATAAATCATCAGTCAATTGAGTACCCACCATTGCACAGGCAAAATCAGAGGCAGCAAATGACCAAATGAAGGTTCGTGTTTAGGTGCCTTCTATAACTTGATTTTCGAGTACTTTAGCATAATCCTCATATTATGTGTATGTTTGATTTTAGTTACCTGACACCACGGGTCCATTGGGATCTGGATTCCAGAGAGACCGCACCATTTACAAACCTATTCTCTCAGGGTCTCCTCAGTCATGGGCTGTTTTGAAGGAGAATGGGAGAAAGGAACGGTGGTTCAGCTAATCAATAACCTTCTTTTTATGTGATCTTTGTGTAACATCTTAAGACTCTTGTCAAGCTTACATCTCCAGAGGGAACTGATATCATTACCGACCCTATTAGACATCCAACAATGTGCTCCTAGTACTTGAGTGGGGCCCTAACCAAAAGGTCACGAGTCCCAACCTAGCAGCCACTCGACAAGAGAGAGATGTGGCGGTCTGCTTCCATAAAGGTTTGCAGCCTCGTGAACCTTACAGGGCAATTCTACTCTGTCTTTCCCGGTCAGTACGAGCCAGAATTACTGACTCGATGCCAGTGGGCTTATTCCCTGTACTCTAATTCTGAGAAGTGTTTGAGTCTGGCAGAGAGC